TTAAAACATCTGGTTGCTATCTTGTAGAGCTTGCTTTGCTTTATCAATGGTGTACTTTATACACGTTTGATATGACGCTGCGACAGTCACAAAGGATGGCTTCTACTTTCGCATCAGCTCAGTATTTTTGCTCCACACCGATAGAAAGAAGGGGACTCTGAGAAGAAGCGGATATAGGGGGGGGGGAACGAGGATTCCCGAAAAGTTCCGATAAAGCTAATAATTCTGATAATTCGAAATTTAAAGTTTTAGTTGGTGCAAAAAACCCGTTGAGCGTTTTCTGTCCTGCCGCGGCAGAGAAGATATATTATAAAAGTACGAAATGTAACATTCGGTGAAGCGAAAGCTTAAACATTTAGACAATCGCATTTGAAAAATTCTAGGAAACTCAATAAATATTATCGTGCAAGCCTCCAAAGTTGTTAGCGTGCACTATCAACATCAATTATTATATGCTTGAAGCGCAAAAAATCTAAGATAACTCGAGAATTTGATACATAAGTCTCCCAAATTTGCTTTAAGGGTTTTGCCGATTCCTTGCGACTTGAATCAAAAACAAAACAAGCTAAACTTACGAGAATGTCGTTTTTTGGGGTCTTGTATGCTTCGAGAACTACTGCCTGTGTAAGGCTGAATATCTGCTATTAATAGTTCCAAAACCTTGTAGTATAGGACCACTTACGCTACTTACGTTGAAATCAGAACTGTCCACTGATTCTGCCAAAGTGAGCCAGATTTCATTTTTTTTTGTCTGCTAGCCATAGAAGAAATACATCAAGTGTGCAAATGAATAGCTGTTGCGATAGGTAACCTCTTTGAGCAAATTGGAGGTTTGTAAAATTTTTGTTCACAAAAATCACTTCATTTTTGAAAAAAAATTTAAATTTGAGCGAGGCATGAAGGCTACTCTTCAATAAAATACATTTGCGTTTAAATCTACGAATTTCTGCGAAGGTTTTCATCCTCATCTATCGCTCATGAGGTCCTTCCAACGAGCATTATTTATGACACATCAACTGGTTCTACCCTCGAGAATTTCACTCAAGAATATTTCAAGCATCAAAGAGAATCTAGATCACAAATCTTTGAAGTTTTTCGAACATATTAATCTAAAGTTTAATCGTTTATGCACGCGCAGTATTGATGAAAGCAAGGATCGAAGCCTTGTCTTATTGTTAGATCTGCCTCTCCTTGGCAAAGATTCTTTTGTAAGCTCACCAGAGCAGCAGCCTTGCAAAACATTTATGAGAAGATCTTTTCGAATTATTCATAGCTTTATGAAAGTTTGCGAAAAGAAGGATTTTTTTGCATACGTGTCAAAGGCCGTGAAAACTTTCTATGTATAATTAGTCTCATAAAATTCATGTAGAACTTTTTCTTATCATTCCCGAGTTTTCTGTTTCTTGAGCCTGGCATTGCCAATGAGTGGTCATCATTACTTGAGTAAGCCAAGAGAGATTAGTAGGTTTTATTTTAGCATCGACCTAACACCAAATGGCGTTTTAAGACCTCCTCCATTGCCGGGAGCGAATGTTATTGCGGTCGTTATAGATGTCGCTAGTGTTCGTGAATTACTTTTATGTTTACTCACTACTAACAATTTACAACTCATTGATAGAAGAAAGAACACATTCATTTGCAGCTATAAACCTACAGAGGTCACCCTTTTTTATATAGCAAGGAGTTATCCATTGACTGGTTTTATGTTTCAATATATACCACACTAGTTGCTATGGTGAAACTCTATTGACCTAACGTTCGAAAGGATTGTAGTTTACGTATTCGCTGTATCATGCCGCCGGACATCTCGTCTGAGTCCGCTTCGCTTGACGTTTTCTCAGACGCAACGTACTGGGCAATCAAACGAGGGCAAACGAACCATCTGTCCACCAAAGAATCGGTAGTCCGCACTAGATCAGTGACGGACATCATTGATTTATGCCCAGTGAGTTGTCGTCCTGCTACAGTGTACGGTAGCTCACACACACAGCGATATCAATATACAGTGTCGCCAAGCGACAACAAGAAAAAAAAACAAGTAAATATTCGAGGTTTGCAAGATACTGTACTCTCATACTTGCAAACTTTACTTCAGGCTATTAAAAACAGCGCGACCGAGTGACTCAGGGCGGCAGCTGCGCCAGATGGCAACAACGATCCCGACCATGAAGAGCTTCATTTGGTGTTCACTCGGATGCGCTCCGCGCACTTGGTTTATCACTTGCTTTATCACTTGCTTTATTGCTTTGTTTGATCTTCTTGATTATAAAAATCTATCCTCTAAGTGTTGTAGTTAATCATGATTCTCAGTTGCTCCGTTTGCATTTAGTTTTCTACTGATTTTGCAAAAACAAATCTAAAATAAGCTAAAACTCAAGTAAATTTGACAAATATCATTGAATCACTTTTAATCGCATACTTTTGTGTAATCATTATTCCTCAATGTCATTACTATTTTGGAATTTCACAATCTATTGTTATGTAGTTTTAGAGACATGTTGCGTTATCTGTTTATTGTTTGTTTACCTTTAGTAAACGGTTTAATTACCCAAGTTTGAGTTGAGGTACGCGTCAATCCGAGTCAGCCCGCGTGGCATCTATCATTATCGTTGGTATTAGAAGATTATTGTTCTAAATATATACCGTACCCTTCAATTCACAAAGGGTGTCCGTAATGTATGTAGCTGCCGTTTCAAATCTTCTCAAAAAATGAGGAAACTTGTCTGATAGGGTTTTTATGGACGCTGAGTTCAATACTCAACTATTCATTCACAAAATTGCGAAGCTTTTTAAACGGTATAACCGCACTCTTTAGAAACATTGAAAAAATGGCCGCCACCTCTTACCTGGCATAACTCTTCAATGAAGCATCATAATAAGTTGGGAACTTTACAGTCAGAATCAACAACTCTAGTTAGCCTAGTGTAAAAGTTTTCAGGCTGTTTTGCTTCCTTCCTGAGGCAAAATAAGGCCTTTCGTGGCTCAAAACCCTCTTTGAAGTTTCCACCGTAATCCTACAGTAATGAAGAGAGGTGGGTGATTCGCTCCATACTGAAATCTAAGTTGAAGCCAGCTCTACAAAATGATGCTTGAAGCAAGGCAAAAGATTTCGTGGGAAAAGAAATATTAACGATCAAACAGTGGTGTTTACAAACTTTACGGACACCCTGTATATATTATGGCAGTAGATCATTCGTTGTAGTCAGACATTTATTTCGTTGTTAATACGATTACGAGAGTAAATCCATGCCGCTTTAAGGGTCTTTAGTGCTAGAATTTCAGTCTCAACGCTGGATGACACATCCAAAGCTACAATTATTGCCGCCGTGCTCCTCGAATTCATGCTTGCCTACGGGAGACAATCAGTTTCCTCGCCTCATGTTGGCCAAATGCTCGCAAGGTCCACCCTTCCCCCCAATGTACACTGTTTTGCAACTCAAGCATTCGAATTGAAACGCTGGCCATTTCTGACCGGCGCTTTTTGATATTATCGCTAGGGTGTCAATCAGCATGACTTTATTTTGCTGCGTGTCCGCAGGATGCATTGTCTTATAGCCTCGCTGATTCTGTCGGAAGCGAGAGTGTGCACAAAAAACCTTGTTGTTCTTTTTGAGCTCCCTAAGACTAACAACTTACAACAGGACGATCACGTTTTCTACGCGATCGACCTGTTCCAAGCATATGGCCGTTACTGAATGCAATGTCAACCGCCAAATGTCATGAGTCACGTCGCTCACCACCGCCTTTACACATTTCGGCAGCAGTTCTGAACATGCTATGCATGATAGCATGTTTGAGCTGGAGGCTGACGTAGCATGTAAGGTTGCTTGCCTTCGTTCGATGTCAAGCGAAGCAGACTCAGACGAGACGTTTGGCGGCACAATACAATGGATAAACTACAATCCTTTTAGACCTCCAACGAAGACTAGCTTCGAAAGGTTAGGTGAATAAAATTCCATCATACCAACCTGTGTGCGTAAGGAATATTAGAACATCAACTTACAGTGAAAGATGCCCAGGTTTCAAGACAAAGCACATGGAAACCTCAACTGGTTTTGCCCTCTGGTGAGGAGTTGGCTAGCGCCGATACAGAAGTAAAAAGTGACTTTCGCCGTGCCGCGCTTAGAATATCAACCAGTGACCTAACCGAAAGGCACTGTAAGGTGTAGTGCTGCGCTATCAGGCCATCGCAACTTCTTTGCCCCTTTCGAATATGATTTTTTGTTAAAGATTGTCATATGCAGACGACAACGGAAATTATTCCAGCTTGAGATAAACAGTTTATCGAGAGTCTTTTCAAAAAGATGGTTACAAAGACTATGGCCCGTAGTAGAACACGTTCAAGTCAGATCCGAATGAGAGCTTCAGATAAGGTTTGTAAGATTATCTGACGAGCGGTCACTTCCACATGCTATAAAAATGCGACCTGACCCGACAGGTGAGCGTCAAGGCATGTGCCGCGATGATCTCGCCCGACTTCCGTAAGAGCAGCTTTGATTTTGAGATGATCGGAAATAGGGTGCAAAGGATGAGGCGCAGAGAAAAATCCCGTAAGTTGCTCGTGAGTAGTGACAAAATTTTGTGATTTAAAGTAAGCCAAATTGCATATTTTCAGGGTCCTACGGATAGAAAGAGTTGACACAAGTTTTTCTCTTTTTTGCGGAGTTGGCCTTATTTTTGCAAAGAATTGCATTGGATGAAATTTCTTTGTTTATCTCATGGTCTTTCTGTTCAAAACTTGTGATTTTTTTATTTTTCATAAGATTCCATGCTAAAATATCGTGACTTTCTTTTGTCTACTCATTTCCTAGGTGAAGTTTTGGATGACGATCATCGTCGCTTTTTGTCAATGGTCGCTGTCAATGACTGCGTGCCGATGGCGCAAAAAATAATGCTGCTAACCGATCTCGAACCACAGCCGCTGGCGTTGTATAGCCACCAGTTATCCATTTGACCATGTCCGAACAAACAATGTTGCTGTTCCTTCTTTGAGAACGGGCACCCTTATCATTTCTACAGAACGATCAACTCAACCAGATCAATAGCTCGCTGGATGTCGAACTGATTCATCCTACGCTCAACTCAATCCGTCTCAAGGGAGATGTCCTGACGGGGTTTACTACGGGCCTATATGTCTGCGAGATCAGGTTGTGCTAAATTTTATGCTTTAATCTACTGGATTTACACATCGTAGGTACTGATAGGAGATTCCATTCGGACAGTCACACAGGTAGACTGGACTACCATTGGAGGCGTAATACGAAAATTCCGTAGCTGCAAAAGCTCATGATGAGAATAGAAGCACTGAGGATGGTCTTAACTCACAACAAGCCTGCGGCTGTGTATCTTGTAGAGTTTGTAACTCCATATCCGATGAATATTGCGCTTGCGCACCAAACTGCTGCGGTGCACCGAATTGTGCCTGCGGTAGTGCACCAAATTGCCCCTGGGGCATTCCATACGATAAGATAGATCCTCCAAGATTTGTTGCTTCCGTGCCTAACCTCAGTCCGCTACCTAGAAAACTCTACAAATGTTTGATAGGGGCGATATTGAATATACTCACTAATCACATCCATTATCCCGGTGGCACGATAGAGACCGTTTAGGCCGCCACTATTATCCCTACCTCCGCCACTACCCATATGACCAAATCCGAAGAGAGCTCGTTTATAGCGCCTGTGAAGGGAAATATGAATGTCAAAACTTGACCCTATTGTGAAAGAATCACTACTATGCGTAAGTCGCAATACAATAAAGAGGGGTCTCTTGCATTTTAGCGCTGAAATCACATATCAAATGAATGTTTACATCGCTTACAACATTACGATTTGAAGTATTTTTGATTTTTGAACGGTGCTTTTTTACTCAAGAACTGGTAATGAAATAGTGATCTTGGGTGCCTTTGCCTGCGTCACAGACCTTGATTGAAAGGGTTGTCGGTTTTAGAAAACTTGTTTTCATACGTTTCCTTTTTGAGAACCTTTCTAAATTGAGAACCAAAAATTTTGATTAGAAGGGGTTGTCTGTAAAAAAAATTTGTTTTCATAAATTTTTTTGAAAACCTTTTCAAATTGAGAACCAAAAATTTCTTTGAACAAAATTTATGCATCTGCGGATTGATCGCGATGTATTTGCCATGCGACAGACGATCAACAACTTCTCGATCAATTTATATTTTCTAAAGCTTACAAGGGAAGCGTGTATAGTCGAAGTGGCCTTTTCAGAAAAGACCTATACTGCTTTGGAGAGTATAGCACAGTAATTCCAAACCTCTAAACGCCGAGTTATGGGCGTTTTTCGTGTTAGAAAATTGGACGCGAAACTGAAGCAAAATTGCTCAAATCTGCTCATATGGTTAGCTGTTGAGTATCAGAGCAGTTCATGCGATAGACACATCTTGTCTAATATGCTAATCCTTAACACTGCTTCATCTGAGCGCTGGGAAAGTTGTAACAGTTGTATTTAACTAGATTCTGCACTCATTTTTCATTTCAAAGGACGTTCATAACTCGGCGTCCAGGGTGTTTGGCAGATAATGAAGGCAGATTTGGAGCCATCCTGCAATACCCTTCAAAGTGGTATGAGTCTCAGTCAAACGTCACTCCGACTAGACACGCTTCCCTTGTTAAAATACTCTCAGATTATAAGGCATCACAAAGAGCTTAGCCCATCCCCCTACATTTTAAGCAAAGAGTCTGTCTCTTCATAATCCGACCCTGAATATGGACTATGGCCTCTCCAACAAAGAGACAAGGTCCTTCTTAAGTGCAAGCATCAGACATTGAAAAAGTGTCTACCTGTGACCGACGTCTTCTTCAACGCTCTGTCTTGCTGGTTTTGCTTCACAATAAGGCAACGACTCTGAAAAAGTACGTCAAATGTTGTATAAAACAGTATAATATAGGAGTGCTCACGGAAAAGAAAGACCAGGAGAAGAGAGCTCGGTCGGAGTAGACTCATAGCACTCAGATTGTTTGATGATTTGCGCTCCAACGCTTTTATAATACCATCAAGAGGATGCTAGAGAGGCATTACCGGTGGAGCTGTGACGTAACCAACAATTTGACAAGATTCGGTCAAGAATGCGTCATCACGCTCTCATCATTGGTTGCAAGGTCCTTCGAAGTGTTCCGCGTTTCTCTTTGGACTCGTAAGATTCGATTTTCTTCATAAATGGATTGCAGAGAACATTTTGTAATGAATTCCGAAAACAGCTTTGCATAGTCAGCTGCTTGGTAACTATTATTAGCGAAAACACGCCATTGCGACTGATCATAGGTAGGAAAACATCTGAAAAAGTTTGCTCGGTCATCGCAATTTATCAGAAGACTTGGGGAACACTTGATGAAACATCTGAGTAGGCAAAAAACATGCCAATTTTTTTGATGCCGCTGATGACTGCTATGTTAGTGGTGCAAATTTAAAACGTGGTGAAGATCTGTGGTATGAGAGAAGAGATCTAGAATGTAATGGTATAAATAAATAGCAATGCTAAGCGTTCCAGTTTTCTCACTAGTGGTTAAGGTTTCCTTGGTAGCATTCGAATCAAGTACAGCATGGATAGAAACTATGTCAAAGAATACTTATAAAAATGAATTAGGACATATTTTTCTCTACTCTAGTTGCCATGAACGTTCCAGCACGATGAGGCGCGGCTTTGATCAATCAGAGATCAAAGTTGCTAAGATTACCAGATACCATCAGCTATAAGGAAGGTTCCCAGGCACTTCCAAATGAATTTTGCATTTTTCAGACTTGTGTCTTGTCATTCATTTTGAGAGATTTAAATTTGGCTGTAATGAATTTCTTATTAGGAAGAAAATTTGTTTCACACAGATTCATCGCATTGGTTGCTTGGGATAAAGGCTATTCACGCAAAATTTTGTGCGTGAAGAGCGTTGGTAACTTGATATTTCGGAAATTACAAAGAAATCGTAAAGGATATATCACATTTTTTGCCAGAGGATTTAAAGTATAGATTATAGCCTCTCGGGGCCGCATGCATCAACTTACCCGCTGGGGAGGGGATCGCTGCTTACAAAGGAAGCTGCATATCCTGAAGTTCAGAACTTCTGGATTTCACGCTGCAACCTGTCCGTAAATACTCCTACTATCCTTCACTATGCATATATTGAAAAGGAGCGAGAAGCTGTACAAGCCGCATATTCTAGCATTTTGTATGATCCTTTGATGATCCGTGGCGGTCGACCGTCTTTTCTTCAAAGTCATTTTTCTTCCTTCAAAGTTAGCGAAAGCATTCCAAAGTTCATCTAGTCCAACAGTGCTAAGCATGTTGCTGATAAAAACAAATGATATATTGGAGTCATGAAATTTGCGATGAACCGCAAGTCAAATGTCGGGGTTTATCGAAAAAGTCAGTTTTTCAAACACTCATCTGCTCTTATCAGCAACATGTTTAGCACTGTTGCGTTAGATATTCAGCGCAACTGTGGAAGGTTTTCGTTAACTTCGGAGAAGGAAAAGTGACTTTGTAGAAAAGACGGCCGGTCGCCAGGGATCACCAAGGGATCATACAAAAAATGAGGCTTGTGCACTTCTCGCTCCCGTTCAATATGTTCGTAGTAGAGGATGATAGGAATACTTACGGATTCTGAAGCTGCGCCCCCTCCCCAGCGGGGATATTAATGCATGCGGCCCTAAGACCATTAACAATAAGGCTTTGGCATCAGTTGAGATTTCTGGCTATTCTTTGCGCCAGCAAAGTTGCCCAACTTCTGCCGACACCACTTCAAAGTCATATTCTGAGCAAATTAGCTCATACTCGAAACTGCAATTAATATTTGCACTCTACCTTCGTATTTTGCGCCCACCAATCCACTTCTGCAATTCAAAAGAATCGAAGCCGATAATTTTGATAGCTTCTGATTTTTCTGTATATTACGACATTTAAAAGCTTGTGGTGATGAAAAGGACAAGTTTTTAGCACTGGTTCTTCTATACATTTTTTTCTTTGTTGCATTGCTACTCCTTTTTACGTGCAAAATGGATGAGTTCCAGTAATGGAACACCGAAGACTTTTGAAGGATGTCGCGGAATAGCAAAGAATGCCGAATTGAGATCATCAAAACTGCAAGAAACTTTGAATTTAAGCTGATATTTGATACTTTAAAAATTCATACTATTCCTAAAACAGTTCCGAGCATTTCTATTTCATTCAGACTATCTTTATAACCTCCATTTCTGAAGTAAGCTTTACTCATATTTAGTAAGTACTCTCGAAAATACAACGATAGTTAGGAAATGCACATGACGCACGGTCTGGCATTCTCTTCGTGGTTAGATTTGCGATGCATTATACAAAAGGTTTGTGGAGAGTAATATTTACCAAACCCACTATTTGTATGCACAATACTCCTGTCTTGAACACTACCAAATTGCCCATGCATCTCTCTAGCCAAAAACATCATTGATGGCGCATACTTGTGTAGGCTAACTTTATCTTGCTACTAGCTGGCAAACCCGGCTGCGCCCTTCCCTGTCGAATAGTCTATTCGTAATCAGACCGCTAATTTACTCCCCCCCCCCCCCCCCGTCTCCGTATGCCAGCTTCCATCCCTAGCCTGAACTTTGCAAAAAATCGATAAAACCGACAAAAGTAATAGATAGTTCTAAAAACTATTATTCTATTCGTAAGCATGCTCGATTACCTCCCTGTGCCAACTCCCAGCCCTGTATCTCAAACTTTGCAAAAAATCGATAAAATCGATGAAAGTAATCGATAATTCCAAAAACTAATACTGTATCCGTAATCAGCTTGCTTACATCCCTCTGTGCCAACTCCCAGCCCCGTAGGTGGTCAGCAAAAATCGATAAAATCGATGTCGATCGATAATACAAAGTAGCCTGTGACACCCGCCCAGCCCCGAAGTGTATGTGTGCAAAGTTTGGTTAAGATCGGTTCAAAAATAAAATTTTCTATTCGGAGCATACGCAAAGACAGACGGACATACTCAGACACCGAGATCGGACGAGCCGCGGCCCATTGCAGGCTGAAAATTCTCAGCCCCCGCTGGCCGGCCCGAGAATGGGCCTCGGCTCGGCCGCAGGTGGGCCTCGGCTCAGCCGCAGCTGGCTGTCGGGCCCTCCGCGGTTCATTTTAGCTCGGCCTAATTGGGCTTTGGCGCAACATGGCACATAAGAAAATATACGGTAAAAAAGCAAAACATTTTTGATATACAGTGCTGGCCATAGCTTTAAAGCCACCCTAGAAATCACTGTAATTTGCTCTCTTTTGTTCGAAATTGTCTGAAAAACCACTATTCTGTGTGCAAACTAACGTCATATCATTGACCAGGACGGCTCCCAATTTCATTGGCCGGAGAAAATTTGAAAAATTTGAAAAAAAGGGATTCCCAAGGCTGGTCACAGCTATAAAGCCAATATACAACATCAAATATAAAAGATTTATCACACTTGGAAGCAGTCGCCTGTTCAGAAAGGAGATTCATCCTGCATTTTTTGCTTCAAAATATATAAAAAGTTATGATGTTTGGAAAAACTGCCTTTTCACTAAATTCTCAAGCATTCTGGTCACATCTAACCAGTTGGCAGCCCAACTCTTAGCGGTAGAAGACTCAGCGCAAGAATCGGCCTTGGCACGTTTTCAACATTCTCTTTTAACATTTTGCCAACGCGTTAATATCCTAGCAGCGACTTTCCACTCTACATTAGCATGGAACCCTACAATAGCTATCCGCAAACTGCTCGGTCGCCCCGATGTTTCGGCAAGATATGTAGGAGACGAGGTAGTACAGGTTCATCGGTGCATGCGTATTCCTCCGTCCCAATACGAATTGCTCTCCTTTAACGATACCTGTTACGATAAACCCCGTATGTCGCTCCAGTTGCACAACGCGCGGCTTTTCGGCTTTCTTGATCCGGATGCGAGGGTAATGCTTCCGGAGGCGAACAAAGTACCAGTTCTACGGTCCAATTCTTCTTCTTCACTAACGCCACTGGAAGATTCTTGTTTGACACACAGCGTGGCATGTATCTCCCTCTTCGCGCCGACCAAATCGACACACTCTCGTGGTCTACAGGCAATCCCAAATGGACTTCGTCACCGTCATTGACCATTTTCATAACTTGATACTTACCAGTGAGATAACGACGGCCAGATTCGCGAAATATGGCAAGCATACTCTCACAAAAAACTCTATTCACATTTGGGGTCGTGGACCCACTCGCAGACTACTTCTAACGTTGACGCAACAGACACTATAACAGCTCTGTAGCCAACTTCTTCTTTCCAAGTTTTAGCCTCTTTTACTTATGGGTCACCGGATGTTGCATACTGGTATCTCTCACCATGTTCAAACGAACATTGGCACCATATCTCCAGCTCAGTTTTCCTGCATTCATTCGTGCGTCACGTGCCATACAGGTAGCTTAAGAGCAGGCTGCACCACCTGCGACGGTATACACTCTGAGCCCTGCTCCACTTATACATCATTGGTCCACCCCTCAATCTCACACCCAACCTCCTCTAGATTTAGCTTGCGTAGAAATCGACGCTACACGAGCATGGCCGCCACGAGCAACGTTGACACCATTCAGGATTTTGAGCGCAGGTGACGTAGAAGAAGACTTCTTCGTAGCACAAATCCCAGTCATTGTCAATAACATCCACATGCTTGCCCTGATAGACATCGGGCCGGCTATCACCATAATCAACAAGGAAATGGCACCTTTACTGGGGATCTTCCATTTGCTACCACCTCAAATACCGTGTGCACTCGGTATGGCGGGCGTCCCAGTCAAATTATTGGGAAGCCAAAGACTCGAATTCGAAATCGGCTCTTTCGTCACAACTCACCTAACTTATTTTACAGAGGGGGCAGCTATTTCCAAGTTAGCAGGTCTACAACATACCTTGGTAATGATTTGCTCAGTACCTTACCACGATGGTGCATCGACTACCAAAAACATACCTTCCATTGCGGCAACTTTATGATAAGAATTTTCACATCCGGAGGCTTAGGCAATCAAGGCGAGCAGAAAGCGATTGTCTGCGCAGCAGCAACAACTGTAGCACACCCTGCATCCGAAACATTTGTACCTTGCGTCATCTTTGGTAGGGTTCTTTTACATGCTCATCAGCCAGAACCTACCATTAGTGAACGATACCTCACTGATATCACCCGCGGTAGTTTCGGCACCCACATGCCGGGTGCTCGTCATCAATCCTACCAATAACCCGCACGTCAAACATAAATATCAGGCGGTAGCGTCCGCTGTCGAAGTCGCAGAAGGCAGCGTGGTAAACAGTGGG